AAGATCCATCTAACATCAGCTACAATATCCCTAGTACCCCGACCTCTTCCAAACCCAGCCTGGACTTCTGGCAGTTCTCTGCTGATGTACTGTTCCAGTCATTTATGGACTGGACACAGGGGAAGTTAAAAACCAAAACAAACAAAAAACTTTCAGCAGTGTGTTTGAAATCACAGGAATGAAGAAAGCTTCAGATACAAGTGGTCAGGTCATGGGTCGGACAATGGGTGATTAATTCTGAAGGCATTTGGTAGAAGTGAAGGTGTATCCTGCTGGAGGGTGGAGCTGAGAATAAGTGGGTCAAGGCACTGGGCTAAGGGCAGGGACTACACTGTAACTAATGGTTAACTCCACAATGAGGGATTTATCTTTCACTGCTCCACAAATTGCTGTCTGTCAGATACTCCTTCAAATCTAAACATTCAGATTAAGACAGACTAGGGAGAAGGATTGGCCATCCTCTTCTGAAATAGCAGGCCTCTGAGAACCCTACGAACAAAAAGAAGAATAGTGTTGTTTTAATAATAAAAACATCAATTTCAAGTCCTATAATGAAATATAATGCCATGAGTGATAGTACAGTATCAATTCACATACAAGAAAGACCTATTAATGTGACTATTATTCAAATATACACCCCTACATCTAGAGCCAAAGAATAAGAAACGGAAAATTTTTACTAAAATTTGCATTCTGAAATTGACTAAGCGTAAAATCCAGATGTGTTAATAATGATAGTTGTTAACTGGAATGCAAAAGTTGAAAAAAGTGAAGAAGAAATGTTGTTTTGGTTGCTGTTTTTATGTGCTTTTGAGTTGACTACCACTCCTAGCAGACTCCCATGGCAATACACCTTTAAATTTCCTGGCTACTGGTGCCAAGAGTGTTGACTATGGAGTCAAGCAAACTAAAGCTGTGAACAATCTCAATCCCTTCACCATCCATCCTGATGCTCCCAATTGATCCAGTGGCGAGAATCTTTGTCTTCTTGACATTGAGCCTCAATCCATATTGGAGGCTGCAGTCTGGAAAGTCTGCTGTTAGGGACCTCTCCAATGTACTGAAGAGCAATGGTGTCTCTCTGGAGACTAAGGTGCATCTGATACAGGCCATGGTCTTTGCAATCGCTGGTTATACATCAGAGAGTTGGACAATGACCAAGGAGGATAGAAGGAGAATTGATGCCTTTGAGCTGTGGTGCTGGAGAAGAGTTTTGAGAGTACCATGGACTGCTAGGAAAACAAACAGATTTGTCCTGGAAAGGGTTAAACTGGGTGGCTCCTTGGAGGCAAGGATTCTGAGGCTCCTTCTAACATACTTTGGACATGTTTTGAGGAGAGACCGGTCCTTGGAGAGGGACATCATGCTTGGGAGGGTGGAGGGCCAGCGCAGGAGGGGAAGGCCCTCTATAAGGTGGATTGATTCAGTGACTGGGATAATTGGGATGGGAGTGTCAGAGACAATGCGACTGGCATAGGACAGAGCAGAGTTTAGGGCTGTTGTACATAGGGTCGCAATGAGTCACAAGCGACTCAATGGCACATAACAACAACAACCACTCATAGCAACTCTATGCACAATAGTTCTGAACTCTGCTCTATCCTGAGCCAATCTCACTGCCTCTGACACACCTCTCATTTTCACAGTTACTGTGTCAATCCATCTCATTTGGTGTCTCCCTCTTCTTTGTCTCCATCCTTCCAAGCATGATATCTTTCTCCAAAGACTGGTTTCCCCTAGATACATGTGCAAAGAATGTGAGATGGAGCTTCAAAATCCTAGCCTCCAAGGAGAAACTTGGTTTCACCCTCTCTAAGACAGATCTAATTGTTCTCTTGGCAGTCCATGGTATAGTTAAGATTCTTTTCTAGTACCACAAATCAAAGGTTTCAATTTCAATTATTTTTCTGTTATCCTTCATCATTTTCGAGCCTTCTGGTATGTAGCATGCAATTGTGAATACTATGGCCTGTATCAGGTGCACCTTCATCTCTAGACTGATATTGCTTCTCAGTGTTCTGGATAGGTCCCTGACAATAGATTTACTAAATGCAATTTGTCTTTTGATTTAATGACTGTTGGTGCCCAGAGTGTTGATTGTGGAGCCATGCAATCTGTAATTATTAACAACCCTAATCTCTTCTCCATCTATCAAAATGCTGCCAATTGGCCCAGTGGTGAGAATCTTTGTCTTCTTGATGCTGAGCTTCAACCTGTTTTGAAGACTACAGTCCTTGATCTTCTGTAGCAAGCTTTTCAGGTCCTCCTCAGTTTCAGCAAGCAAGGTTGTGTCATCTGCATTACATAGATTGTTGATGAGTCTTCCTCCAATACTGACGCCACACTTCTGCTCATAAAGCCCAAACTCCCTAATGATCAGTTCTGCATTTATTTTGAAGAGCTTTGGAGATAAGAGGCATCACTGGCATGCTGTCTTCCTGATTTTGAACTGTGCAGTGTTCCTCTGCTCCGTTTTGAGGACTGTTTCCCGGTCCAAGTAAATAAGCACAATCAAATGTTCTGCGATTCTCATGAAGGTTAACCACAATGTGTTGTCATCCATACACTGTGCATAGCAATCTAATTTGTAAATATACACTTAGTGATAGAAATGAGCCTGGGAATAATATGATTAAATTTTGTATTTTTAGTAATTTATTCATTGCAAATACCTTTTTAATTTTTTTATTTTATACTTCTTTACTTACAAAGTTCATATATATTTATTTTTTTTTACACTGAATTTTGCCCATTTCCCCCACCTACCCCTCTCTTCACCCATCATTGTGTGACACAATGATTAACTCCCCCTCCCCTCAACCTATCCTCACTCTTCTGCTTCCACCCTCACCCTCCTTGGATCTTCAGACACGTTGTACAATAATGGTCTTATACAGTGCTTGTCCTTATGGGACTGAATTAGTTCACTTAGCATAATGTTCTCCAGTTCCTTCAAGTTATGTAGTGATTTTTTAAATTGTTTTTAATAATTTTTATTGTGATTTTAATGAAAGTTTACAGAAACTTGGATTTCCAGTCATTCATTGTTGCATATTGCTGTATAGTATTATATTCTGTGAATGTACCATAATTCGCTAATCCATTTGATTATGGTTGGACATTTGGTCTCTTTCAATGTTCTTCCAATGGTGAATAATGCTGCTTTGAATATTGTTGTACAAATCTCTGTTTGTGCCTCACTTCTTAATTTTTTGGGGTATAGTGGAATAGCTGAGTCACAAGGAATTTCTATATTCAGCTTTTTAAGGAAGTGCCAAACTGCCTTCCAAAGTAGCTGTACCATTTTACAATCTCACCAAGACTGTATAAGAGTCCCTATCTTGGCACATCCTCTTCAACATTTATTACTTGCTGTCCTGTTAAACTTTGCCACTAATACTGGAGTGAGATAGTATTTTGAGCATTTCTTCATGTGTCTATTGGCCATCTGAATATCAAAGACCTGCAAGTAAAGCCCAAATCCATAAAGTTCATCAGAGACAACCTAGGATTAAGCTTAGATTTCCTAGTCTATGATATAAAGAGACTGCCAAATACAGCCAGAAATGCACAATCTGGAGAGGATAAAATTGATGAATGGGACTCCTGAAGATTAAATTCCTGTGCTTATCAAAAACTTTTTCCCAACAATGTGAAAAGAAAACCTAGTGACTGGGAAAACATTTGGCAATACAATTTCAGACAAGGGTCTCATGTCAGAAGTTTACAGAATCCTACAGGGCCTCCACAAGAAAAAGACTGATAACACAACTACAAAATGGGCAAATACCCTTTTTTATAAGGCATAAATGGCAGCTTTACACATGGAGCTTATCTGATGGGCTGCATAGAAATCAAATTGACTGTATCTGTGGAAGGAATCATTGGAGAAGCTCAATATCAGCAGTTAAAACTAATCCAGGGGCAGACTGTGGGTCAGATCATCAAATACTTACATGCAAGTTCAATTTGATTCTAAAGGAAATTAAAACAAGTCCGCAAGAACAAAAATATGATCTTGCGTCTATGCCATATGAATTTCAAAATCATCTTAAGAATAGGTTTGAGGGAGCTCTGGTGGCCTAGTGGCAAGAAACTGCACTGTAATCCTAAAGGTGAGTGATTCAAATCCACCAGATGCTTCACTGGAGAAGATGAGCAATCTCGTCCTGTGCTAGTCAGATCTGCCTCAGTAGTACACAAGAAAAAAATGGGTTTGATGCATTGAACACCAATGATCAAAGATGATACACAAGCTAGACATTACTAAAGTTACCTTTTCTCTATTTGTATAACTAAGACATTATGCACTCTATGTGATGAAAAATTAATACTATAACAAACAAATACTGAAATGTGTTTTAAGAAAAATCTCCATTTATAATTTGTTCCTATGTAATTATTAAAATTATCCCCCTTTCTTCTCAAAATTGTCCTTATTTGAGTTATTTCAGAAGGCAGGATATGATCAACAACCAATGATTAGTTGTCTAACTTACACTGACAAAATTTAAAAAAAAAATAACATTCCAGGAATTAGCAAGATATCAACTGAAACATTTCAACAAATATATACAGATGTGAATATGCTCACTTGTACGTCAATAAATTTTGAAGACATTTTACCTGGCCAACTAACTGGAAGAGATTAATATTTGTTCCTATTCCAACAGAATATGTAAATCATTGAACAATATCATTCATATTAGAAGCAAGTAAAATCTTGATAAAGTATATTAAAAAATTGATGGAGCAATTCATAGACAGTGAACTGCCAGAAATTCAAGAAAGATTTGGAAAAAGTCATAGAACCAGTGATGCCAGAGAGATCTTAACTGAAAGTGAAAAATGCCAAAAAGATGTTTACTTACGTTACATTGACCATACAAGACATTTTACTTTCTGGATAATAATTAACTATAGCTAACATTGCAGATTATGTGAAATCTATGCCTAGATCAAGAATCTATTGTTCAAAGGAGCAAGAGAACACTGCATAGGGGGCCCAGGCCAAGTCCAAGCAGGCCATCTTGGCTGCTCAGAGAAGAGGCGAAGACGTGGAGACATCCAAGAAATGGGCAGCTGGCCAGAACAAGCAGCACTCTGTCACCAAGAACACTGCCAAGCTGGACCGCGAGACAGAGGAGCTGCACCACGACAGGGTGACCCTGGAAGCTGGCAAGGTGATCCAGCAGGGCCAGCAGAGCAAGGGGCTTACGCAGAAGGACCTGGCCACGAAAATCAATGAGAAACCGCAAGTGATTGCTGACTACGAGAGTGGGCGGGCCATCCCTAACAACCAGGTGCTGGGCAAGATCGAGAAAGCCATTGGTCTCAAACTCCGGGGTAAGGACGTGGGGAAGTCCTTTGAGAAAGGGCCAAGGGCGAAATGAACACAAAGCCTCGAAGTCAGTCCCGGCTGATCTCGTCCGGTGGCTTCCCAACCCCAGGACTGGCACCAGCCTTGCTGGGGACCCTCATCTTGTACCTGCTGTAAAACAAACTAATTGTGCAAAATAAATAAATAAATAAAATCAGAAAGTGTGTTTATTAGGGATGTATCCTTTTTTCATATCTATTACATCTGTATGTTGAACACATAATTTGAGAAGCTGGACTCTGTGAAGAGGAATGTGGCATCTGAATCAGAGGAAGACTAATCAACAATCTGCACTATGCAGATGACATAACCTTGTTTTCTAAATGTGAGGAGAATTTTAAAGGCTTCTTGCAGAAGATCAAGAACTATGGCCTTCAAAACTATGTCTCAGGATCAAGAAAATGAAAGTCCTCACCACTGGACCAGTAGGCAACATCATGTTACATGGAGAAAGGATTGAAGTTGTTAATGGTTTAGTCTTGCTTGGATCAACAATTGACAAGTTTGGTATCAGCATTCTAGAGATAACAGGACATATTGCATTGTTCAAGTCTGCTGTCAAGGCCCTCTCCATAATACTAAGCAATGAAGTCAGTTTGCAACTAAGATGCCCCCTAATTTAGGCCATGATCTTTTCAATAATATGCTATGCAGTAACTAAGGATGACAGAAGAAAATTTATGCCTCTGAGTTGTAGTGTTTGAGAAATGTACTGAATATCCCATAGACTGCCAAAAAATAAACAAGCAGATATGTCTTAGGAAAAGTACAGCTAGATTTCTCCTTGAAGTTAAACATAATGAAGCTTTGTCTCTAATATTTTGGATATGCTGTTAGGAAAGACTATTCCTTGGAAAAGGACATCATTCCTGGAAAAGTGGAGGATCAGTGAAATTGAGGATGACCCTCAACAAATGAATTGATACTGACTGCAGCAATAGCGTTTGTGTCAGAGATAATGAAGACAGTACAGGGTAGGGCAGGGTTCATGTCTATTGTTCAAAGGGTCATTATGAGCCATATTTGATTCTGACTAAGTGGGACATAACAAACAACAAAAATGACATTGAGGAAAATGAGAAGTCCAGAACAATTAATTGCACCCATGTTGTCGTTGTTGTTTAATGTTGAGTTGAAACTGACCCATAGCTAATCCTCCAGTGGGTTTTCAGAGACAGTTAATCACACGGGAAGATATTGTCTATTCTTTTCCTTAGGAGCAGCTGGTGGCCTCGATCCACATGTGTTCAGAAGTGCTGCACAGCTTCTTGCCACTAGGCCACCAGAGCTCCCTGCATCCATGTTATACCTATATTTTGTCAAAGAAACAGAACAAAGGAATGTTGCTTGATTTAACATCAGGAAAAGTGGGCATCAGGTTTGTATTCTTTCTCCACATATATTTAGTCTGTAGACTGAATAAATAATGTGATAAACAGGACTCTATAAAGAAGATTGTGGCCTCAGAATTGGAGAAAGACTCATCAACAACCTGTGTAATGCAAATTATACAAATTTGTTTACAGAAAGTGAAGACTTGAAGCACTTATTGAAGACAATAAAAAAGATCAAAGACTTGAGTCTTTCATAAGAATTATACCTCAACATACAGAAAACAAAAATTGTCACAAATGGGCTAATTGGGAAAAATACATTATGATAGAGTAAGAAGTGATTGAGGTTGTAATTTCACTTGCATCCACTATCACCAAAAGTGTTGCTATGGGAAAATCTGTAGTCTAGGACCTCTTTGGAGAGCAAAAGATCAAGGATATCAGTTTTAAAGAGCTAAAAGTGCACTTGATGTGTTGTTGTTTTTGTTATGTGCCGTCGAGTCACTTGCGACTCATAGTGATCCTATGTACAACAACCCTAAACTCTGCTCTGTCCTGTGCCACTCGCACTGTCTCTGACACTCCCATCCCCATTACCCCAGTCACTGAATCAATCCACCTCATAGAGGGCCTTCCTCTCCTACACTGTCCCTCCACCCTACCAAGGATGATGTCCTTCTCCAAGAACCGGTCTCTCCTTACAACATGTCCAAACTATGTTAGACGGAGCCTCAGAATCCTTGCCTCCAAGGAGCCACCCAGTTTAACCCTTTTCAGGATGAATCTGTTTGTTTTCCTAGCAGTCCATGGTATTCTCAATACTCTTCTCCAGCACCACAGCTCAAAGGCATCAATTCTCCTTCTATCCTCCTTGGTCATTTTCCAACTCTCTGATGCATAACAAGAGATTGTGAAGACTATGGCCTGTATCAAATGCACCTTAGTCTCCAGAAAGACAACATTGCTCTTGGGCAATGACTAAGGAAGACTGAAAAAGAAGTAATGTGGCATTGAAGAAAATATTGAATATATCATAGATTTCCAAAAGAAGAGGAATTTGAGGAAATGCAACCAGCATGCTTCTTAGAGACAAAAATGGTAACATATTTTTGGCTATGTTGTGAAGAGTGTCAGTCCTTGGAAAAAAGACAGAGGACTTGGAAAAGCAGAGGGTCAGTAAAAGAGAGAAGGAACCTCCGTGAGAGGTATTCACACAAAGCCTCCAAAAATAGGCTTGAGCATGACAAAGCTATGTGGATATCACAGGACAGAGCAGAGTTTCAATCTTTATTTTTAGGGACATTATGAGTCAATATTGATTGAATATCACCTAACAACAAAAACTGGTGGTGGAGGGTATGTCTTACTTATTAAAAAATATAATAAAGCCAACACAAAACTTGTTATATTTCCGTCATACTTACACTATTAGATAACTAAGCAGAATATGGTACCAGAGACTAGGCTTGGTTGTTGCCTCAATGTGAGTGCTAACTGCTGGAAAATCTAATTGTGGAGGTAGACATGGGGTAAAAAGCAAGAGCTTTATCATATACTGGTTTAGCTTGCATTGAATTGCACTGATAACTTAAAGGTATCTCATCTCCACAATAGAGGTCGGAATCCATCAGGAATTTAGTGGGAGTAATATACGCAGCACAGGAGAGGAAGACCCTGGTGATATAGATTGATACAGTAACTGGGGCAATGGAGGAAGGTGTGTCAGAATTAGTGAGACTGGCTCAGGACAGTGCAGGATTCAGAACTGTTGTACATAGGGGTGCTATGGATTGCAGGTGACTTGATGACACATAACAACAACAACAACGACAAACAAGATGCACATCTCCTACTGTTGTGATTTATAGCTTTGGAATCCTGAAAGAGAGTTAATTTGAGTTAAAATTAGATGGAATAAAATTTTAGTTTTTTATTTTTATTCTAGAGAAAGGGTAAGAGGGTAAAAAAAAATTCCCAAATTCAGTTGTCTGCTTGGAGAATGAACTTTTTATCCTGCACCATTGAGCTGGAATTTTTGATTCACAAGTGACCCGTTAGGGGCTTTTCAGAGGCAGTTAATCTTAGGGGAGAAGATGGCTTATCTTGCTCCCATAGAGTAGCTGCTGAATTAGAATTGTGTGCCTTTGGGTGGGCAGTCCAACTCCTTACCATTAAGACACTGAGCTGAAAAGACCTTTTAATAAGGAAAATAGTGTTTGTTTTCCCAGAGTCATCTATGCGTAATTCAGGGTATGATTGAGACCAATTCTCACTATTATTTGAGGATGGATTTTCCTATCTGTGTGTTAAAACTGAGTTCTCATTATTCTGTTTTAGGGAACACAAATGAAGGTTAATATTTATGTTACTATTTAAACCCTGAAAAGAAGTTAATTTTTAATTATAAACCACTGAAGCAAGAAAGGAAAAGCACACAGGCAGGGGTAAGAGTGATACTCTAAAATCGGCCTATCAAACGGTCAATTTGGAATGCAGCTAAAACTAATTTTCACCCAGTTTCCTACAATACATTAAATATGGAAGTGATTTTAGAATAGTTACTTTTGTTATGGGTTGTTGATTCAGAACTAATTCATAGCTGACCCTCCATTGGATTTTCATAAATGATAAATCCAATAAAAAGAGACTGCCTCTCCTGGTAGGCTTGTACCACTTGCCTTTTGTTTGAAGATAATGTTATCAGATATGTGGACATTGAATATGCTTCTGGTAAAATACTAAAAGAAATGATGAACATGTGATGAAAATTGGAAGGAAGTGATTTTAATTCATTTTTTAAACGTGCCTCCACTTTTTAATATAAGTAACTTTATGGCAGTTGATAATTATGAATTATACTTGACCTAAAGTTGGATGTGAATAACTTGGGGACTACCTGTATAATAACAACTGGAATGATTTAAAAGTAAAAAAAAAACATAAATAAACAAATGACAACTTAATGTATTATGGTCAAAGTTCGTTTGAATGTGGAACTTCCATCAAACTGAGTAATTGGTTTGAACATTTGATTGATCTTAAAGGGATTATGTGATTTCTCCTTGTCTCATACTAAAATGCAAGAAGATAGATGGATTTATCACGCAAAGTGAAAACAGAACTTTAGATAATTTTGTTGGTACAGATTAAGGACATGCGCTCTAAAATGGTCATGAAAGATTTGGTGTCTCATTGCTTTGTGAGAGAGATTAAATTGTGACTATAATCAACTAATAGTCTAAAAATCTGCATCAGTTTAGTATAAAATGGAAAAGATCTAGCTGAAGGAAAACAAAGATATCCGACTCTTGAAATTTCTTAAGGCAAGAAACATGCTAATGAATTTATAGCTGTGTTCTAAAAGAAATGAAACATCTCTAGAGAGCTTTAGAAATCCTCAAAAGTGCTAGAAGTCAGGCTTTTGGGGTCCAAAGAGTGAAAGAGGGGAGCTTTTCAAAGCTCCTAGGTCTCAAGGATGGAGCTTTTCAAAGAGTCAGATTTTCACCAATTCAATTCTGAGTATGGGTTGCCATTAAGATGTGACAAGAGGATGGGATTTTTGCTCAATGGGCAGTAAAAGAACAGGACCTACCAAGGCTGAGAAAGCTACCACTTAGATGAACTAGGAACATGGAGTTACCCAGATTCAAAAGAGGAGAGTTGCAGTCTCAGTGGGTCTTGAAGGTGGGGCTAAAACCCAGAGTCCAGGAGCCGACACCCAGTAGGACACCACCAGAGTTTAGGCAAAATTAGTGACTTAAAATGGCTAGTCTTAAAATTTTTGGCTTTTTTTAGTACTTTGTTTATATCCTGTAACAGTGTTTGAATGCCGAAAATAGCTGTTTTCCTGAGACAAATGTCAAGGGAACTGTATGATTTACAATCGTTAATGACAAAACAATATGCAATTCTACCTGCTAATTTGTCCTCTTTTAATTTCATTTTTCCTTTCAGCTTCAACTGCCAATTTCATTTTCAATTATTTTGCGTTTCAGATCCTTATTTTTTCTTCCCCTTTGTAACTTGAATTTGAACACTTCAGCGCTGTTTTATTTTTAATCTCTTACACTCTCCACATATTTTCTTCCAGATACTAAAGTGAAAATAACAGAGCTAACACAATTTTAAAGCATTTATAAAAGTGTATTTTGAAAATAGGTCATAGTATTAAGAATCTTCATAGTGTGCTATGTTGAGCCGGGCGTTTCACAGTCAGCTAAACACATCAGTGATAATAATGATCAATTGTGTTAAATATATAATCTTTTGTTCTTTTCCTGCATAAACTTTGGAGTAAAATCTTAGAAAGAGATGCATTTTCTGAATTAAAACATTATTTACTGTTTTAGAATCTTAATGAATATAATTATTTATATATAGTTAACTACTAGAGAATTCTGATGAATAATTGATGTCTTTGAAGTGTCGTACTGTAAACAAAAATTATCTAGATTATGCCATGGATTGACAGAGGAGCATATATGTCTTGAAAGAAGTACAGACCAAAAAATTATTAAATATTTTAGGCATATTATAAATTGTTATTGTTGTTATGTACTGTCAAGTTGAGATGACTCATAGCAGCACTATGAATAATAGCTCTGAACCATAGTCATTGTACCAAAAGGAATTGGCAGAGACAGAAGAATTTAATGAAAAAACATATGAGCAAGAGCCTGTGATGATGCAGGAAGAAGTTCAAGCTGCTCTGAAGGAATTGGCAAAATACAAGTCCCAGAAATTGAATGGTATACCAATTGACATATTTTAACACACAGATGCTGTCCTGGATGTGCTTACCAAATTGTCTCAAGACATCTGGAGGACAAACACCTGGCCAACTGACTGAAAGAGATCTATATTTGTTCCCTTTCCAAAGAAAGGTGACCCAACTGAGTGAGGAAATTATAGAACAGCATCATTGATATCACATGCAGGCAAGATTCTCCTAAAAATTATCCAAAAATGACTATAGCAGTACGTCAGCAGAGAGCTGCCTGATGTGCAGGCCTGGTTTAGAAGAGGCTGAGGCACTAGGGATAGTATAGCTAACATTAGATGGATCTTGGCTGAAAGTAGAGCATACCAGAAACATGTCTATCTGTTACATTGACCATGCAAAGGCTTTTTACTATGTGGATCACAACAATCTATAGCTGACTCTGAGAAGAATGAAAATCCCAGAACATTTGATTATGCTTATGTAAAACCTATACTTGAACAAGGAGTCAGTTATCAGAACAGAACAAGGAGACACTGCATGGTTCAAAATCAGGATGCGTGTACACTGGGGATGTGTTCTGTCTCCATGCCTTTTCAATTTATATGTAGAACAGATTATCTGGAGGCTGGGCTGAATGGGAAGGAATGTGACATCAGGATTAGAGGAAGATTCATCAACAACCTACATTATGCAGGTGAAAGAATTCTGTTTGCTGAATCTGAGGAGGACCTGAAGTGCTTGCTGCAGAAGGTCAAGGACTGCAGCCTTCAACTCAGATTGAAGCTCAACCTCAAGGGAACAATGATTCTCACCACTGGGCCAATTGGAAGCATCATTATGGATGGTGAAGAGATTGAGATTGTTAACAGTTTTAGTTTGCTTGGCTCCACAATTAACACTCTTGGTACCAGCAGCCAGGAAGTAAAAAGACAAATTGCATT